TAAAATTCCGGAAAGTCCACATCTGTGCAGATTGTCTGACAGAATTTCAATGGAAACTGAATCAAAAGCCCCCTTAATGTCCAAGAATACTGAAGCCAATTGCTCCTTATGCGCAAAGGCCAGTTGAATATCTGTGGAAAGCAGCGCTAGACAATCGTTTGTTCCTTTGCTCTTGCGGAACCCAAACTGTGTATTTGATAGCAAGTTATTTGTTTCGACCCACTGATCGAGTCTCCGAAGGATCATTTTCTCCAACAATTTCCTAATGCACGAAAGCATCGCAATCGGACGGTATGAGTTATGGTCAGACGCTGGTTTGCCAGGTTTTCGAATGGCAATTACTTTGACCTGTCTCCATTCAGGCGGTATAATGTTGTTTTCTAGTAAGGAATTGAATAAGTCTAGCAAGCGTCTTTTAGCGATATCTGGGAGATTTTTCAGAAGATTGAATTTAATCATATTGCTTCCCGGTGAGGAGTTGTTCGATGAAAGAAGAGCCATAGAGAATTCCAGCATTGTGAATGGTCTATCCAGAGAGCTGCCGCTCGGAGACGCTTCTCGAAGAATGTGTTGTGCTGGAGCTGAGTCCGGACAGACCTTTTTAGCGAAATCGAATATCCATCGGTTGGAGTATTCTTCACTCTCATTAGAAGATGAGCGGTTACGCATGTTGCGAGCCACCCTCCACAAGGTGGTCATTGAGGTTTCTCGTGAGAGTCCCTCGACGAAATTGCGCCAATAACCGCGTTTTTTTGCTTTGATTAATTGTTTCAGCTTTGTTTCAAGCTTTGAATATTCGCCGAAGTATGTGGAGGTTTTGTGTCTACGAAAAGCTTTGAAAGCATCAGATTTTTCTACATACAATTTTGTGCATTCTTCGTCCCATCCAGGTGTGGGTGGTCTCCTTTTGAAGGGCGCACTTGGAACTTTTCTTTTTTGTGCTTCCAGTGAACTTTTGTAAATCAAATCGGCGAGGAATCGATGTTCTTCCAATGGTGGAAGCGTATCTATTGATTCGGCACCGATTGTCACCGCCGTTGCATATTTATGCCAATCTATGTTCCTTGTAAGATCAAATGGAACTCGAGATGGTTCTGCAGAGTGAGGGGCACACTTAATTGAAATGATGATTGGCAAATGATCGCTACCATGGGGATCATTGATAACCTGCCACAGACAATCCAATGATAGCGATCTTGAACACAAAGATATGTCGAGTCGGCTTTCTCGAGCCGGAGGTTTTGCTATACGTGTCGCTTCACCAGTGTTCAAAATAGTCAAGTTGAAATCGTCGCATAAATCGTAAAAAATAGCCGCTCTATTCATATAGATCGCCCCACCCAGTACCATGGGAGTTCATATCACCCAGAATTAATACTGGGGATGGAAGAATCGAAACTAAATTCCAGAGTTGACTACGGCTAATGGAGGTTCTTGGTGGAACATAAACTGAAGCTATGCAAAGGTCTTTGTTCTTCACATTTATTTGGCAAGCGACGATTTCGACGCCTGATAGAGCAGGAAGGAAAGTTTTGTAGAAAGGGTAGCACTTTTTGATCCCTAAGAGTACTCCTCCATAAGAATCGTCTCTATCCAGGCGTATAATGTTAAAATCGTGGAAGTTGAGTTCTTTATCGGAAGAAAGCCATGTTTCACAGAGAGCAAATATATCACAATCAGAATTGTGAAGTAAAAATTTGAACGAGTCTAGTTTAGGCACTAGACTACGGCAGTTCCACTGTAGCACAGTGATCATATCTTCAACCTCGTTCGACGAATTATCCATCGAAAGATATGATTGATGCAAGGAGGGGCCATGAAACAGTCAATTGCTTAAGATATGATTCTAATGTTGGAAGCAAGGCAGAAACTAAGCTTCTAAGAGGGTCTTGTATGTTGAACATATTTAATATGAATTCCACAATGTCCGAAAAAGCTAGCAAACCTCGTTCGGATTTGGATTTCTATTGAGAAGTTTGAGGAGCAGCTTTATTATTTTTTTTTATCTTTTTTGGGCAATGATGGAAAATTCCTGCTGCATCCAGGGATTGGTTCAGCAGGAGCCTTCGGTTTCGTTTTTTCATCCCCATTACCCTGGGAATTTGCCAATCTTCTGGAGGTGACTTTTGTTTTCTTACGGCGCATTTTCGGGGAGGGGCATTTTCTTTTTGAGGATCCGTCCATTTTTGAAGGTGCGTGTACCACCGTAGAATCACCTTCATCGGATGAGTCTTCAGCTGACAAAATCGAAAATTGGTTTGCACCAGCCTTCACCATTTGAGCATATGTCTGCTTGGAGCGTCCAGAGATTGAACGCTGCACTTTATCGGAGTGCTGCTTGTACATTGGGCACTCCTGCAAGGGGTGAGGATTCTCGCCACAATAAGCGCATTTTACTGATTCTTTGTGGCAAGAATCCTCTTTGTGGTTTTCACCACATTTGCCACAACGAGTTTTGTTGCCGCAATGGCTGGCCGAGTGTCCCAGCCTTTTGCAGTTGGTACAATTGTATACCCTCTGTACAAACAGCCGCACCGGAAAAAAAGCACCATCAATTTTAACAAAGTTTGGGAGAACCGAACCTGCGAAAGTCACGCGAAACGAGTCTGAATGCCGATAAACTTTTTTATCGTCTACCAAAGATGCTGAATGCAGTTGCCTTACATCGCTACTAGCGCGGTAGCGAATGTGGAGTTTTTTAAACTTCCCGAGGCACGTTTCAAGTCCTCAACAGTCAGACTCGCGTCGGAGACCACGCCTTCTATCTCCACATCTCGAGAAGGGATGTAGATGTTATACTCAACACTAAAAAGCTCGTGTTCAGCTATTTTATTTGCCACATCATAAGTCGGTGCTTCTACCCGCAGTTTGTTGAATCTTTCCTTGTGTACCAAGATTCCCGGATACTTCCGCAGCAAATCTCTCGTAATGTCGAGAGTTTATTTTTGGGCCGAAAAAAGACAACCCATGGTCCTTTCGAAGACGGTTGGTAGTATCTGGTTCGCGCATCGTGTTGCGCAGAAGCGGTGCACAACCGCTTAAAAATGAAAAAAAAAACTTAAGAATAACTTTCACCTTTTAATTTACTTAACTACTAGTTGTTAATATTTCGTTGCCCGGTGTGCAAGCAACCATACAAAAAAAATAATCAAAAAAAAAATTATATACAAAAAAAAATTAACTTTTTACTAATTGCAAAAATGCCCCACCCTATTAGGGAGAGCACACTGCCACAAGGCAACTTTGCTATACAATAGCAAGGCACATAAATCTCACTTGCACATATCATCTCTATATGTGATCACACATACTGTTTATATGACACATAATCTGTATGTGTTTTGTTCCATGATATCTAATTATGTGTGGCCAAATGAATATTATGCTTAATATTTTATAGAAATTTTCTATTAGTTATGTGTGGATTTTTACTAGTGTAGAATTTCCATGTAATTAACCTCAGAAATATCATAAATTTCTGCTTAGAATAATCTTGGAATTCTCCCCTGAATTATATCGGAAATTCAATTCGTATTCTCCTCAGATTTCCCATGGCATTCTCAGAATTCTCAAAACAAAAATCCATCTCAGAAACTCCCCCCCCCCTTGAAACTCTTCGAATAATTCCTTTGAGATTGAACCCTCAAAAGCCGATTCCATAGGAATTCTTCTCTTTTTATTTCGAACTCTTTAGAGTTCTCCTGGAAGTATCCTCAGAAATCATCCCAGAATTCTTTTATAACTTCCTTATACCCCGTTCACATTACAGCCTATATCACGTAATATAGGCTGTCTTGCAATGAGCACTCATACATCTAGTTTTCACTGGAAATCCCATGTATGAGTGCTCATTGCAAGACAGCCTATATTACATGATATAAGCCGTAGTCTGTCCGGGGTATAAGCCGATAAGAACGCATAATATGAATATTAACATCCATTATTCTCAGAAACAAAAGAAGCGCTCCTAGCGAATCCATTTTGTCTGCCTTCATCCGTATGCCGAAGTGAATCCAATGACGTTTCAATGAGGCCTATTCTGCGCTCCGAATGAGGTGATGTGACTCGCTGTCACTAGTAAGGTGACAATAGTCACCGCGAGTTAGGTGACTCTCCATTTGATTTGCACGCAGAGTCACCTCACTAGCGGTGCCTTTTGTCAGCTCACTAGTGACAGCGAGTCACCTCACCTCATTCGCGGCACCGAATAAGGGAGAATGTGTTTTGAAATTCGTATAACGGAATTGGAATCAAGAAACAGTGTTAGATTTCTAATATCTCAAAAATTTGGAAATCTTTATTAAATCCAACGGTACGTATGAAAAGGTAAATAAATTAAGAAGTCATCTCTGATAGAAACAATCAATTTTCCATCCAAACCCGTTCAAAAAGAAAGATAAGTGCGGGCTGTGCTCAGTATGACGGAAATCAGATCTAAACCCTACCTAGATATAATAGTACGTTCAGACTACAGAGTTATAACATGTTATAGCGCTATCTTGATGGTGGTTTCTGTGTTGCAATTAGTTGACAACCGTTATAACATGTTATAACTCTCCAGTCTGGCCAGCATTTAAGATCAGGTATTGATAAAAAATAAGATGTAAAAGAAACGAATGTTTATTTTTCAGTCGAGTATTACTACAAGACACTGAAGAAATCTATACATTGTAGTTATCTTTTTCTTTATGTTGATTTACTTGATAAAGGTATTTACGCAGTCCAACAATTTAAAATTTCAATTAAAATTAGAGTTTGCGCACAAGATTTGTTCATAAACGCAGAGAAACGGTGAATATGGCAACAATGATGGAATACGCAAACGGCGCGTAGGAATCCGGAAAAGCATGGGTTACCAAGGGAATGGCTTCTGTTTTGTTGATACAAACTGCTTTCCAACACTTTCGATTTCAAGTTCATCGATTTCATTCTTTCAATATAATTTAAAAAAGCATTATCTAATTTATTTAAACAATTGACAATTTATTGTATCCACTACACACCGATAACCAGAAAACATGCTACGTTGTTCGGGACTTCCATTTCTCCCAGGAAACACCTTTCCCGATGTAAGTGATGCACCGTGCACAGTTCAAAACAAAGCCCATACAATTTGATTTAATAAAAACTTCCGCTTGTAGATTGGCCAAACAAAATTTAACAAATCGCACCATTTCGATCGATGGAGCAACATCTGCATGCTGGCCGATCGGAAACGTCCCGGAATCGGTGGAAAGCTTTACTCCCCAACCGACGGACCGGAGTATTGTTTGCCTTCGCTATATCCACCGCGGCAGGGACCCCTTCTGCCTTCTTGGCTGACATACGATCGGAAAGTCCTGTGCTTCCATGGTTTCTTCCAGGAAACGATGAGCGAAGTCGATCGCATTCCGTATCAGATTAGGAAGGTAAAAATCCTCTACTACCTGGAGGATCACACCATGCAGGTGAGCGAGCCCCGTACGATGAATTCCGGCATTCCGCAAGGTTGCCTGGTAACGCGGCAACGCATTCCCCGCCCTGCGCCGTACGATGGAGAATTCACCTCGCTACTGGATCTAAACATAAACCACACGGTACAGCTGTTTGATCGCGTGTACACCATTACCGGATGCGATGACTTTACCCGAAAGTTTCTGAATCGACTGGGTATATCGGTTCAGGAATCCAGGGAGCCCCCCATGTGAGTATGAAACTATGTTGATATACGCTGTCTTGCAATGAGCACTCATACATCTAGTTTTCCCTGGAAATCCTATGTATGAGTGCTCATTGCAAAACAGCCTATATTACGTGATATAGGCTATAATGTGAATACCCCGTTTTTAGATGATCCGTGTTGGATCTATTGATCATTGTGATCTTTGTTTTTATCCACTATGATCGTAATTTTCACTTCAATTTAAATTGCATATGGGAGGAATATTAATTTAGACAGTAATACCAACAATTATTACGAAACTTGGGACCTTCTGGTCTTAGAGTTACCTCTATGGTTATACCATAGAGGTAACTCTAAGACCAGAAGGTCCCTAATAGCCCGGACAGACTATGGCTTATATCATGTAATATAGGCTGTCTTGCAATGAGCACTCATACATAGGATTTCCAGTGAAAACTAGATGTATGAGTGCTCATTGCAAGACAGCCTATACTGCCGTTATACGCATAAGAGTCCCACGGTGCATAAGGATTGTATAGAACATGGGACAGTTATGCGTAGAACGGCAGTATATTACATGATATAAGCCATAGTCTGCCAAGGGTATAATAAACGAGCTCAACATTTTGGCTCAGCTCTGGTACTATCTTCGGTCCCAAGCTAATCGATTCACCCCTCGAAACATAGGAAAATCCACGAACCCCTCATTTTTTCTGTCAAACTTTCATAGCGAATCCAAACAAACAGTGTAGTACTGGGATTTCGACTAGAATGAGGTACGTTAGTCGATTTGCTAGGGACCAATACTGCCGTTATACGCATAACTGTCCCATGTTCTATGCAATATTTATGCCCAGTGGGACTTTTATGCGTATAACGGCAGAATAGGCTAGTCAAGTAGTGAGCCAATTTAAAATCGTTAGTTTCGTATTGATTGTTGGTTATACCCCGTACATACTATGGCTTATATCATGTAATATAGGCTGTCTTGCAATGAGCACTCATACAAAGGATTTCCAGTGAAAACTAGGTGTATGAGTGCTCATTGCAAGACAGGCTATATTACATGATATAAGCCATAGTCTGTACGGGGTATTCGCTGTATTGCTGAGATTACATTCAAGAAACTGTTCAATACAGCGGTTCAAAAACTTTTGTTCATGGCAACTCACTATTCGAAATTCCATCAAATTGCGACCCCCTAGCGACTTGACTAAGAGCAGGTGCAACATTTCAGTTGGGAAGTAAATGCAGGGCTGTTACAAGAGCTTCAAAATTTGATCCGCGAAATCCGCGACTCCTCAAAATAAATCCGCGACTTCAAATATTAATCAACGACAAACAAAAAACTGTTTGCATTGATTAAAAATACCATTTGTATTACTACTACATGGCATTTCAAGCTTATTGCTTATAGCATATAAGCTTTTTGGCTGCTCTCAACTCAGTGTTCACTTCCACATTTTAAGTGAGCTGAGAGCTTTCTATGCCTGTACCATCCTATGCCCAAGGAAGTCGACACAGAGATTTTCATTTTTAAGAAAAATAATATTGAAAATAATTCTTCTTAAGAGTATTTCAAAACAGTTTTAAGGACAATTTTAAGGTAATTCCATCATCATTTTATTCAAAAATTCCAAGAAGATTGAATGTTGAATTGCAAGGATAGTTCTAACAAAATGTTGACGAAAATTTCTAAGGAATTCTGAGGAGCATTTCAAGTGATAATTTTTAGAAAATTTAAGAGATTTCCAAGGAAACTATGAGGAGTATAAGAATTATTGAGTAATATGACCAGAACTAAAAATAAATTCATACGGTAATTCCATGGGAATTTCAAGACAACACCAAGTGCATGCTGAGGAGAACTACAAGTGATCTTGTTCATTTTTCTACGCATTGCTACCAACTTCGCTCGAGCGCAGCGCTACTGTATCTGACGTTTGGATTCTGGCAAAGTTGCCAGTCTTCTTGATATGTTATATTCGATTTTACGATTAGGTGGGTGTGATTTAGAATGTATTATTATTTATTATTGTTATTGTGCCATGCTGGAGGGGGCATTGAGCATGGTGGCCAGTGTAACTTTGGTGACCATTTTTACACCTTCCATGCAGCAATCAGATAGATATAGACACTTAATTTTGAACTATGGACGATTGAATTTCAGTATGGGACTGATATGCGATTATTTTGCATGATGAGACAAACTGACGTGATGTTGTTTTCACAATTTTAATGATCATAGTCCGTAGTTTTATCACATAATATTAAAGTAGATGCCAATTGACAATCTATTAGACCTCTGGATCTCCTTACTATCTGTCATGGTATGACAATTTTCTCATCCCATTTACAGCGACCCAAGCACCGAGTTACGCAAGCAACAAGACGCAGCCAAATTAGCCAAAAGGCCGGCCTACAAGATCGATACACTGGGTAAATTCCTAGAGTACGATCGCAAGGTGCTACGCTTCCAAGGATTCTGGGATGATCGATCAAGCCTGTTTGGCGATGTACACGAGCTGGAAGTGCTTTACCATCTGAGTGATGAAACGTTCGAAATCAAGGAGAAACTTCCGCTGAATTCAGGACGTGATTCGAACGGAATGTTCCTGCGGAGAGGACGATTACCGAAACAATTCGAGCGACTACCGATAATGGGTGAAAGTACCCCGGTCATGGTTCTGAACGTTATCGGAGGAGGGCTGAAAGGAGGCCGCTATCTAACCGATTCCGTCGGGATCGGTAGGGTCAACGATAACTACTACAAAGATTCTGAGCTCGCGATAGGCAAGTCGATAAATGTTTACGGGAGAAGCGTTTTGCTAACGGGATGCGATCAGTTTACTAGTGATTATTATAGAGTTAAGGTAATTGGTCAATAGACTATAATAGGACATGTTAGAATTGAAATGGGTTTTATTCCAGTACGGCATTGAAGACTTCACACCCATACCGGGATACAGTGTAACTAAGAATGAATTTGAGCGTCGCTATCGCAGGGAACGACTGCTGCCACCCTACAATGGATGGGGTTCCCACGAGGATTCAGAAGGAAATTGCATTACAGTTGAACCGAAGCCACCGAAGATTGACTTCCGCAAGTTTGTTGTCTACGATCGGTGCAACCTTCGCTTCGGAGCCCGCATGATATCGAACATTAAGGAAAATAACGATCGATTCTTTGTCATCACATACTACTTGAGTGACGATACGGTTTCCGTATACGAGCTGATGATAAGAAACTCCGGATTCCAGGTATTTAGAATTCTTCTTTTGGTCAAACTGAATTTGGCAGTGATATATCATTTTCTAGGGAGGGGAGTTCATCAAGCGATCGCGAATGCTCTTACCGAAGCAAGATATATTTACGCCATCCAGACCACAGTACTTCACGGCTCAGGACTTCTATCTCGGAGCGACAACCATTCTGCAGGACCACAAATTCAACATTACCAATGCCGACATCTATGCTCTTTCGTTCATGGAAGCTCACTGTGATGAGTTCTCTCTGTCGAACGTATCGACAATTATTCAGAAAATACGCAACGCTCTGCAACCGATCTATAAGGAATACATTGCAAAGCACATGGCCAAGGTGGAGCACAAAAAAATCGACGATAAAACGATAGCTACGGTTACGTACGAAGTGCTCCGGGACATGCTACTCGAACTTTTGGACGACCAAATCGTAGAACAGGAGATCGTTACACTCTGCCGACAATTTTCAGCGGAATCCAAAAAGAGTTTCAATTGCGATAAGGAACTGGTACGAGCCGCCATACATGGGGAACTCACCAGACAACTTTGGAACGATCTGGAACGGACCAGGGAGCACATGTACCACTTGGATCCATCGAACGACCGATGGATGAGCCCGAAGAATATCGTGGTAACAGTTAAGGCATGCAGGATTCCACTGGATAATGCTCTGATTGATGCGATGTTGGAAGTGTAAGTATCGTTTGGCACGTTAATATGCGTGCGTTGAACCCAAATAAAAAAAAATCTTTTATGTAAACAGATTGAATCGAAACGAACGCGGTGATATCGAAGTGGAGGACTTTTTGAACATACTGAATTCCATGCAGACGCCCTGTAAACCACTGCAACCACTCAACATCAAGCACGACGTTTGCTTCTTTACGCCGTATCGAGTTACTGGAAACCTTATTGACTGGGATATGCTACTTAGCAGTATCAATTTGGAAAGCAGTCTCACTGATCAAACTTCATAATAATAATTTATTTTTGGATAAGGTGGAATACTTCAAAATTTATGTGTGATATATTCAAAATAAATAATTCACTTAGCCATGCACATCGTTATTAAGTATCATTTATTTATTCCCTTCAGATAGCAGATTAGCATTCACGTTCAAAAAACAAACCACAACACAGTTGTACCTACCTATCCGGAACAAAACCACCTATCAGTGTAAAATCTTAACCATACAATTCACAAATGTCTGCTACAGAAAAGACAAACGAACCTTCACATTCCATTTGTGCTTGATAAAACAAGTAAACCTACATTTCAACTAGGTACGATTGAGCGAGTTTTCAAAAATACTCGCAACCGTTGCATGGAGGAGTAAAAGTTATTGCTGTTTATTTTCCGTTCTTTGCTTATGCAAATCCTACAGGATTGATATTCTATTTTTCTCGGAAAAAAAGTATGAGGCTTTTTGTTGGCAGTGTCCATATTTCCTCTGATCAGTGGACGGTTGATTGTCGTTACAACCTTCGGTTCTACTGTGAACAGTGGCATTAAAAAGAGAGCTGCTTCTCCGTGACTTCGTCGTCGTCATCTCCGTCGTCTTCTTCAACGCCATTAATGATGGGAATGTCTCCATTTGCTGCCACTGGAATTTGCTGCTCGCTGGACCGCTGCAGGTCACCTATTCCATCCATCGTTTGTAACGATAGGATGCTAATACTGTCGTCCAACCCGGCACTGCCCAAAATTGCGGCCGTGCTACCATTCTGCTGTAAACGGAAGATATCACAGGTACGCTCGTAGGAAGTAATACTAACATCGTTGGTTGAGGTAACCGACGTTCCGGTTAGCGAAGTTTTCGTTATGCTACCATCGTCGTAGTCTGCAAAAGTGTGCATAGGTGGATTATTACGAGTGGTCTGAAGAGTTACCCCAGGAGCATCTCCGGCTGCGGTCGCTGGTCGTTTTTTTTATTATGTTTCTCTAATTGCAGATATCTAGGTTTATATCAGTACACCGTGGATAGTTTATCGATTTCATGGGGAAAAAAAGTTGAGAAGGGTTTTTTGCAATTCTGGTCAACGATATTAGGGGAAATGGAACCACATTCACGCAGAAAAAACACTCAGGCGTAAATTAACAAAATATTTTGTTATTTTTAATATGAAATTTATGTTTGATTCAATTCATAAAAATGGTTTAAATAAATGCAGCACTCCATTTAAATCAAAATAATAAAATTGTTTGAACTGCATGTGTCAAACTGTCAGTCTGTGTCGGCATGCATTTCACATCTTTTCAACTATGTTAATATTTCTAATTTATTTCATGTTATTTCTTTAAAAAGAAGATCCAAGAGTTTGTTTCGACAATTCCAAGCATACCGAAAACTACTATTCCGCAATCAATGGCAAACGTGTTTCGACCAGGAGAACCAGGTAGGTGGAAGGTGAACCTTTCAAAATAAGCACCTACGAATCTTCTATTATTTCACATTTCCAGATGTGGATATGCTCAGTGGACACAAACCATAACAACAAGCCGAGTTGTAGCAATCCAGATGTTGACGCCACGTCCTCCAATTCAGCAAGAGAACCTTCAAAAGTAATGTAACATCATCGAAATTTAGGAAAAGCCCAACTTCCTTCAAGCAATAGGAGCTGAGACAAACAACGGCTACCGATGCCGATTAAAATTCCTCCACCTCCTCCTAGTGACCCTCACTATTCCTCCAAAATATGGTTCCACCAAACTTCCAGGCGCATAATCATCAAATTTCCAACCACAACGTCTGGCTCAGAAGATTTAAGAGAACCATCTCTTGTTGAACCATCATCGTCATCATCAGCCACCATCGCTGCACTTACAGCAGATCCAGCAACACAAATAGTCAACATTAACACCAACAACATCAGAATCAACACCAGAATGGTTCTGGCTCTGGCGAATATGACGAGTATGCCAACTTAATTAAGCGAACGTGACAAACAGTGACTGCTCAATTGTCTAAATCGATCAAAGACTTCTCGTATTTCTTACTACTTTTACATGTTATTTGCAATATTTTTTTCAATAAAGACAACCTGGGCATTGAAAAAAAAAAACGATTCTTAAATAATTAAAATGATGTTTCAAGCCAACAAAAACGTACATTGATTCAAAAATTGCTTCAATTTGATCCAAGCAAACATTTTGTTTGAATCAATAATTACCGATGATCAATTTAATAAAGTTAATATAATTATTTCAACTCAATGTTTTTGTTGAATTACTCTATCAATTTTATTGATCCATATTCTATTCAAAATTTTGTTTAAAGTGAAACGAACTTTATTTGATTCACCTATGTTTTTTTCTGCGTGTTGAAATCAATACGTGGAATATTTCTGTACCTTTGTACACGGAGAAGAAATTCTCAATATGCTTAAATTCAAATAATTATTTATTGTACGAATAGGGGAAGTGGATGTAATGTCGGCTTAAATGCCCCAAATTTGGACCCATACATAAATTCAGCAATCGTCTTTAGAGGGAATACACATGTGCACACATACATAAATTCTCGAGTAACATTTGAAATGGGCCATGTCCAAAACTTTAAACAAATCGGGGTTTGACACCATTCTTTAGCACCGCTTGATAGCTACTACTCGTATGGGAAAGTTCCGCATAATCGAGAAAAATCATTAAGAATAACTCGATTTTCGAAACGGTCGATCAACGAAACTTTTCGATTCATTAATAGGTCCGCACGCTAAAATGGCCAACCATTCATTTATTTCATTTCATTGATAAGCCTAGTGACGTAGAAGGGCCGACGAAACGACGCGTCGCGACGAGACAGCTCATAGAAGCTGCATTCAAATTTTTGCCCAAGACGCCATATTTAAAATACGCCATCTACTCATCCGATCGTGTCATATCGTGAGCAAGGACACGAACACACGTGAAATTTATGATTCTGTGACACTACCCTGAATGTCACTACCCCGAACGCCATAACCCCGAACGCCGTTACCCCGGACTGTACACTACCCCGAACGCCGTTACCCCGAATAGTACACTACCCCGAATGACCATTACCCCGAATGGCCATTACCCCGAATGGCCACTACCCCGAATTTATTTCCAAAAGCTGTAAATAATAAATTCTTTGGATATACGATAAAGAAGGGAATATTCCCTTCTTTGAATATATAAAAGAGAACATCATTAATTCGTTAAATATATGATAAACAAGGGAATATTCCCTTCTTTGAAAATATAACAAAAGGAAATAATTAATTCTTTGAATAAACGATAAAGAAGGGAATATTCCCTTCTTTAATATATTAAAGAGAAAATAATTAATTCGTTAAATATATGATAAAGAAGGGAATATAGGGAGTGCCATTGTGAAAAATACAAAATACAGCTTTGGAAGGGTTCGCGAATTTTCACGATGTTCACCTAGGAAAAAGCTCGCGAATCATAGTGAACTTTTGCATCACTGATTTACATAAATCAATTTTAAATTTTTATTTTTATCATTTGTATTCAGTTTAAACTACAAAAGAAAATTTTCTTCTTAAAAATTTACCCTTCTTTTGATCACATGCTGTTCTTCTATTCGTCTTAATTTCGGGGTTATGGCCATTCGGGGTAGTAGGGTATTCGGGGTAACGGCCATTCGTGGAAGTAGGAAATTCGGGGTAGTGGCATTCGGGGTAACGGCGTTCGGGGTTATGGCGTTCGGGGTAGCGACATTCGGGGTAGTGTCACAGAATCGAAATTTATATTGTCTTGGTTTGCGTCTCACCTCGTTTGACATATCTGATCGCCCGTTTGACAGATCGAATCGCTCATTTGACAAATCTAACTGCGGACAAACGAAACGCTCCACTGGCATGTCGGTTCGTCGGTGGTAGAAGGGTCGATGATTGAAAATTTTCAAACCAAAGCTAGGCCCTACTGCTTGAGGCAGGGCCGATGATTTGTTTTGAATTTATTTGACGTTCCGAAAAGGCTTATCAAAGGGCGTACCATTTCTGGTGACAAGCACAACGGCTTAACAAAAAGGGCCTATCAATTGAAAGATTCACAAAAAGGCTTATTAATTTATGAAATTAGATTGTTATCGATTTTCATATATTTTTGAAAGCTTTTCGCATATTTTGGATGTTGTATACTGGATATAGTTACTTTTGTTATTGTGAACATAATAAATGCCTAGGGGTAAGACAACTGTACTCAGAGTTAATATATTTGCAGTGAGTAAATTTGAGTTACTCAATATTTACTCAAAAACAAACATAGTAGTCTAATATTTTTCATCAAATAATGTTCAAACAAACCCCGTCTGACAGAATGTTTTGATTTCAAGATTTAGTTTTCATTCATTAAAAGATCCAAGTTAGATGGCTCTTGTCCAAGCCAAGGGATGTTTAGGTCTCTTTTGCTTTCTAGGATGGATGGCTAAAGTGTAATGTCTTTGAAGTTTTTGGTGATGTGGTGGTGTTAGTGTTTCCATATCCCAGCCATTTATAATTACCCGGGAATCTTAAAATAGCTGAAGACTCTTCCCGGAGATCGGGAAATATTTTCGGTAGTTACTTATTAAAACTTGAACTTCGTCAGGATTCCTCCCGGAAGATTTTTCCGGCAATTTCTGGAAGTTTCTTCCAACTTCCCCTTGAAGATTTCGACCAGCTTCTTCGGAAGGATTCTTATGATTTCTCTGGGAGGTTTCGTCTGACTTTGCACGAAAGTTTCTTGCAACATCTCCTGGAAGTTTTTGTTTTTTAACTTGCCCTGGAAGAATCTTCCACCTTCGTCCATTGTTCAACGGAAGTTTTATCATCTTTTCATTCCAAGAGTATCAGATTACAATCAGAAGTCCTACCGCTGGAAGTGGAAACTATTTCCTATTTCATCCGGACTTCCCACGGAAAACTTTTCTGAATTATTCTGAAAGTTTCATCCGGCTGGATATACTTGCATGGAAGTCTCTTTTAACTTCACCCGGGAGTTTCTCACAGTTTGTGTCAGAAGCGTCTACCTGTTTCGTTTGAAAGATTCTTCGCCAGGAAGCTTTCCTGACTTCGCACTAAAGATTCGTCAAACTTTCTCCGGAAATTTCTATCAATTTTCCCGAAAAGTTGAGTGGTCATTTTTAATATAATATATGTTTAACATGGTTTTCGTACAAAAAAACTGCTTCTCGGGAAGTCAAACTAGTTTTCTGGGAATTGGGAAATGATAATTCTTGTAAATTGCCCGGAAAGGAAACACTAGATGGTGTGATTTCAAGACTAAGGAAGTAAGAATTTGGCCAAATGTTTTCAGAAGATTAATTTAGCTCATGAAAATTAAAACTCAATCTCACAAAATCGGTCAAAGAGGTTTCATATTTTGTTGCACTACATGCCTGAAATGAGGAAACTCTTTCGTGATAAGCAACATTTTATTTACCAGCATTCATTAAGGAAGAGGGGTTTAAATCTCTGAGAATATTTAGCTAGAAAATGTAAGAGTTAGGGTCAACTCTCTCCAGAAGCGTTCGTTGTTTTCCCTGATACTCCTGCAAAAAGACATCAATAGACACGAGTTAAAAAAGGTTGAACAGGAACAGGTTGAATTTTCATCGTCTGGTGGTGTTGTGTTGATCGATATTTAACACAAAAGGAGCATTGTTGAATGCAGTCTTTTATTTAATTGTTCATCCCAGGTCCAAATAGGTTAGTTCTGGCCAACTTCATAGTTGATTCTATTCTGAAACTTATATTAAGTTTGTCGATGAGCGATCGTTGAAAGGATGTAGGAACCATCACATACCATTTTTTAATACTGGGATTGTACAGAATCTACATTTGGATTGACTGGATTATATGGAATCCCCCCTGGACAGTCATGAATCCCCGTCAATATTGAGTGCAATTCTTCCTGTGATTGTCCGGAATCCTCCCTGGGATAGTATTCCTTCTTTGGATTTTCCGAAGTTATTGTTGGGAAACCGAATTGGGATTGTCTGAAATTCCCCGTAGGCTTGTTCGGAATCTCTACTGAGACTGTCATAAATCCTCTTTGCGATTGACTCGAACCCTCCTAGAGATTGTACAAAATACCCCTAATAAAACGTCATCGGCATGGCAGTAAATCAAGACAGCTCTGACTGTTCCGTAAGGTCACCATTTAAATCTTCCATTGATTTTGAGGGGACAGCTTGTAGTTCCTTTCATACACGTACAATTGCCTTTTAATTGCTGAAAGATGTTCCCAGTAAAGCATTGCAAGCGCACCGTTTAAAATGTTGTTGCTTGGCTTTGCTTGACAGTATCGGTTGCTATGTGTACGCGAGTTACTCAGAGTTACTCAAAATTAACTCCGGTTCTACTCATGATCAAAAGCTGTCTTGCCCCAAGATAAATGCCTAGAATACTTCAATTTTTTTAAATATGAATTGAATAGCGGCAGAAAAATTTAAAATTCATTTTCTGGTTTGTTTACGTTTTGGACATAGGCCCATTTAAAATGTTACTCTGGCATTCAGCAATCGTCTAAATCAAGGCCAACAATTGAAATGGCCTTAACTCCATTGTGTAAACAAAACTTGTAAGGCCATTTTCTCGCGAACCAAAACATTCATTCGCAAACCTAAACCACAATCGGGTAGAGGAGAATTTCCCCTACCTGTTCATTATGTTGGTTTGCCTTTGCGGACTTCGGTTCGCGAGAAAATGGCTTTACAAGGTTTGTTTACAAAATTGAGTTAAGGCCATTTCAATTGTTGGTCTTGAAATTTTCAATACCGACCAAAATATCCATTAGTACCGTCCCAATGACGCGTTCAGCTAGATAAAATTGATAAATAGAAGATTTTTAGCGATGGGCCCAATCTTAGATCCATCGACCAACATTGGAGCCATTTCCCCTACATATCGAATGTTAACGAGATTATGGGCGATATCCTACCAATCAATAAATACCGTATAAACGACAGCGACCGCAGCGAAGATGCTCTAGAACCTAATAAAGGAGAAAATACACTTACCTCTGTTGTGTTCAACAACAGCTAAAAACATTTCATGCCACGTGCAAGTTTAAGGAACAAGAATAAAATAGAAGCGATACAATGCAAAAATTTAACATCTCTAAGGAACTTTCGGAAATAAAACGATACAAAAAAAACATCAACTAACAAAACAATCATGCATTATACCGAATTTGTATTGTCTCAAAAATGCAACATTCCAAGTTTGTTCTGCTATTTGTACATTACAAAAAATATCCTTAAAAATATTTACTAATCCTTCGCACAATCTTCAACTCAAACCTCATTACTACAAACTACTATTCGGGGAACTTTGATAAGGTGGTTTTGATACTGAAACGGAAAAAGAAATTTTCGTTCTGGAATGGCTGGAAGAACAAACATAACGTGCAAGTGTCTAAAGGAATAATATCAAAAGAAGATTACCGATTCGTTTAAGGAAAATGGTTTTCTTTTATTTCAGACCAAAAAAAAAATATCATCTTGGCAGCCATTCTGCTCGGGGGAAAAAATACTAGCAAATTTTAGGTGTCGTCAGGCAGTTGCACTCCGAACGAGGTTGCGACGGGAATGGGTTCTTGTAGCAGTCGGCAAAGGACGGCATCGGTGGATTCAGTTTGATACAATCGCGAACCACTTTCTTCGGATCGCAGCGGGGTGGAATTTTCGCCTTTGCGCAGCCGGGAACCGATGTTCGTGGGCAAAGTTCTTTCTTAATTTTGACACATTCTGGCGCTTCCAAGCTGGGAGCTGGCTTGGAACAGGACGGTCTGGACGTGACCTGTCGCTTCTTACGCCGTGAAACCTTCTGCTGGAGGGTGTCGTCGCAGGAGAACTCTTTTGGCTTCGGTGGTTCCGGGCAGGTACGCCAAGTTTTCGGGCTTACCGGTTTGTCGCAACTGGATCGGGGTTCCTCCTTCGGTGGCATCTGGGTAGATCGTTCCGTACAGGCCTTCTGCTGGCAGTCTTTCTTGTTACTGAAATCGGTCAATCCATGGCCCTTGCTCGATGATGACGACGAAAACGGACGAGTCTTTGCCAGCTTCCCAGCCGCTTCCAGATTTTTCACTGCCGAGATTCCTTTAGCTGCTTCACTGAGAATTCTGAACATCTTGGAACGGTTGCTTCCTGACTTCGAAAAAAAGCGAACTGGTCTGAATGATGGATCGAAAGGGAATGAGAAAAACTACGCCGTTTCCAGTCAACAAAGGCTACTTCGATTCTTTAGATTATTGTTTTCTGTGGTTTAACCACGTGATTTTTGCCTTCTGGAAGGGCTACCCGAGCAGAATACGTGCAGAATATCCTTCGAGAAAGTACATGTACCTAGCCCTCATCGTGTATGTGCTATGTATCTAACTAGTTTCGTATACTTAGAACCTACAACTTAAAACCACTCTTACACATCAATCTACTATAGTCTAGTAATTTCCTCAATCATATTATCACAATTCTCATCGAACGAATCGATTATTACGAGTGAGTTAAGGCTGGTCGCTAATGACGTGCTGGTGTCGAGCGTGGTAAAGCTCTGAATCGTTCTAAGCGATGACATGCTAACACCTTTTTCGTTTCGGTAATTTATTGGCCAAAACATCGAACCACAAGTGTCGGGTGTCGGTGGAGATTGGATTGTGTAATGGGTGTTGTCGAGCACGATGAACGCATATAGATGCCGCATCCCAACCACATGATGGAAACAGAAGTCGAGAGTCGAAAGAAAAGAAAAAATGGAAAATATAAATTGTACCTATATAGGGACTACGAACTGATAAAACTGTAAACTGTAAACTAAGTGTGCGCATAATTTTCGGAGCAGTACCTTTAGTCAGGGGATGAAGTCTTCGAAACCGAGGTGTTAGAGGGACTACTGGAAACCGTAAGCAAACCATCAGAAGAAAAACCATGCAAAAATGGAAGAAAAATGTTATTAGAAAAAAAATCTTGTGCACCACTTTGGCATAGTTATATGACGAGCAGTGTTGAAGGTTAGTTGCATGCGTTGGATTGCGATTGATGCTTGTTTTAGCTATGAATGATAGTATGGATGTAGGCAATTGGCAATGTAATTTGTCGAAATGTGTTATGTACATGTGTGTTAAAGAAATAAATAATCAAGCTAGCGAGCATTTTGAATGTGAATTGTCCACATTAATTGTAACAACTTAAATCTTTCCGTCACTCTCTCCGTTGCAGCAGTTTGTTGTGAACAACACATCGATTGTGTGATAAAACTTTGCAAATATAATGTTTGTAGGGGAACTAGGGGCAAGAAAGTCACCCGGGGCAAGAGTGCCATCCTCACTATATTTTGAAAATGAAAACATTTCAATCCTATTATCTCTCAATGAATCTATGCACGCTATTCCTATGAAGCATTCTAAAAAGTTCTGTCCGAATCGAAGTCGTAAAAAAATGCTAAAAATCATTTTGTGTTGATGTATTGAAAAGCTAGTTTTTTATAAGAATAAGGCATCATAAAATAAGGTTTTCGAAATTTCCAATTTATTTTTCACAATTTCTGCAATGAGACGTCACTATTGATGGTTGATTTAAACATTAATAACAATAAATTATTAAATATTTTTTCTTAATTTCATCAAAAATTATATTCCTAAAAATAAACTTTATACGGGGCAAGAGTGCCACCCCTACATTTATATATAAAATTGTACAAAAATGTTCTGAAATTAGCACAATTGGGCATTTATGTTTCTAATATACATTGTTTTCATTAAATTTTGGAAAACAAACTGTTTAAAATAGTATCAAAAATAGTTTCCATTTGAATTCTTTGACGCACATGGTTTATATGTTTTCGATAAAAAAAATATCGTTAAGTCAATATTTTAGTGCAATAAACAATAAAAGCAGTTGCTGTCATACCTAAGAATAATAATTTGTTCTCGTCACACGGCATAGCTTTGAAAGTGTTTTTATTTTCACAGCGAAACGTTTTTTCCGCAAATAGTGTTTGTGCCTCAGGATCTTGGCGAAGCCTACGGTCGGACTGTCCACCTTAAAACCCGCTTCGACGATACCGGAATTCATCTTGCCAGCCTTAGCCATAGCCAGCAGCAAGAGCCGTGCAATATACCATACAGCAAAACACACGGACGGTGACTGGCATAAATAACCAGCAGAAAGAAGTGAGCCAGCACAGTACGACCGGCATCTATTGTTGCAAAACAGCAACAATATAAGCAGTAGAAACAGCAAAGGGCAAAGTAGCACGTAGGGTTTTTGATCTAATTTCCGTCGTTCTAAGCACAACCCACGCTTTATCTCTCTTTTCTGAACGAGTTTAAACAAAAACTGGAATATTTCTGTCACATTTGACTTCTAAATTTATTCACCTTTCCATACGTACCATTGGATTTGATAAAGAGTCACAAATTATTGAGACATTGCTTAAAATCTAATACTGCTTCTTGATTCTAAATTCGTTCTACGAGTTTCAATTCCGCCCTATTGCATTGAAGTGCCATTAGATTCTCTTCGTCCTACGGATAAACGTAGAAAAAGGGGATTCGCTAGGACTTAGGAGCGCTTCTTTTGTTTTGAGAACAATGAGCGTAAATATTCATACAATGCGCTATAAAAGGATTTATGTTGTAGCTAATGCACTAACGCATCGGCACATACCTATTATTGATTTGTGCACGGTGAGATCATTGATATTATGATCTTTTCTGATCGATAGAACGGAAATGGGCGATTACGACGAAGTAGCGCTCTACCCTATCTGTTTTGTTTTATATTCTCACTCCTCTGACTGTTTGCCTGTAAAGGGCCACCCACATTAGATCCGTTTGCGTTGCGTTGACGTAAATTTGACAGTTAGACAATAGATTTAGCTGTCACTTTGCCGCAACGCGTCCGATCCGGATCTAATGTGCGTGGGCCTTAAGCCTCCCAATTATAAAGTTAGAAAACGTCATTACCAGGCGTCCTCTGCCTCGCCTTGGGTTGTCTACTTTCGGCAGAAAGAGAAAGCCCTAAACTTCTTAGGGATTAAAAGAACGTTGACGCGTCGTTTCCCGGGACCGAATTTCATCAGGTCAATCGGAACAAACTGCGTATAACTGCGCCTACATATTAGTGCTGTGACGATATCGATAAATATCGGGCCTAAATTATCGATACGATAACCGATATTTAAAAATCCAATATCAACGATAATCAAAATTCGATATCGGTCAGGTGTTTTATTCATCGACATGTAGCCTCGAAGTGTGGACAGAATATGTTTGTTAGTGTAATGTCGATGTTTTTGATTTTCCAAATGCATTATGATGTTGGAAGAGAATTAAATATGTTTAATGTATTTTCCATTGAAAATTGGATATCGGACCTGATATCGATACTCATAATCCGGTATCGAAATGATATCGATATTTTCAGAGACCGATATCGATATAATCGATAAATACGTCCTCGTCACAGCACTACTACATATAATATCGCAAATGATATTGCTGACGACGAGGGTTATAACGAAGAGTATTACGACTACATCCCATCTCGAGATGTGGAGATAGACGCCGTGGTCTTGCAGTGAGCCTGACGTGTGATGACGTCATGGAAGATATGAAGCGCCTTCAAAATGCTGCTACATCTACCGTGGACGTCTTCCAGGATATTGAATTCAGCGACCACGGTAGATGGTAAAAAGACTTATTCCCCATCAGGCTCGCTACAGATGTCATTCGCTGGATCGGTTCTCCCAAAGTTTTTAGAAATTGAAAATGTTTTTTTCCCGATGCGACTTTTTGTGCCAAGGGTATATAATTGTACCAACTGCAAAAACTTGGGACACACAGCTGCTTTTGGTGATAACAAGCCCCGTTGTGGCAAATGTAGCCAAGACCACTTGGAGGGTGCTTGCAAACAGGAAGCAACTAAATGTGCTTACTGTGGCAAAGAACCTCTTCATGCTTTGCAGGATTGCACCGCGTACAAGAAGCGTACCAACCATGTGAAGCGTTCCATAAAAGAACGCTCCAAGCTGACGTATGAAAAAATGGTTAAGTTGAAAAATGGAACCTCTGCTTCGTTGACATCAGCCGCACAAAATGGAATACTTATGAGAATTTGTCTTCCGATGAACTGGACTCTGATATAGCAGACGAGAGGAGTCTCCGGAGGTACACTCCCCCGGTAAAAGGAAGCCGACTAGCTCCCCGGAAGTGCGCCGGAAGAAGATTAAACCCACTCTCAAAAGCTTGCAAAAATCTGCAGGTAGCAGGGATTCATTGAAAAAGCCAAACAAATCGGTAATTGCAGCTCCATCTGATCCTTGCTGCAGCTATTCCACCCGCGCTACCTAATAAAGGTAATCGTAAGAGGTTACCAAAAATAAACACGTCTACTTTCAATTCAAAGAAAACTCTCCCGTCAAAGCGAGGAAAGATTAAATTTATGGACATTATGGATAATATTGTGAATGCCCTCGGCTTTCCCAACGAATCGCCACTTCGAGGGCTTATTGGCCTGCTTGTTTCTATAGTCGCAATCGCAAACTACTTCAAGCAAATGACTGTATCATGGCCCCTCATTGGTGAATTCATATCTTTCGATGGATAATTCGTCGAGTGAGGATCAAGATATGGTCACTTTATTACAATGGAACTGTCGTAGTTTAATACCTAAATTAGACTCGTTCAAGTATTTGATTCACAATTCTGATTGTGATATATTTGCACTCGGTGAAGCTTTCTTCTGAAGATGAACTAAACTTCCACGATTTTAACATTATCCACCTAGACCGGCGTTCTTTTGGGAATCAAAAATTGCTACTTCATCTATAAAATCTCAATCCCAATAACTTCACGCATTGAAATTGTCGCTTGCCAATGTAAATGTAAAGACCAAAGATATTTGCATAGCTTCTGCATATGTCCCTCCAATGACTTCCATAAACCGCCGTCCGCTTTGGAGTTCAGTTAATATCCTTCCATCTCCAGTTCTAATACTGGGTGATATGAACCCACACTGTACTGGCTGGGGCGAATCATACGATGACAATAGAGCAGGTATTTTCTATGATTTGTGCGACGATTTCAACTTGACTATCTTGAACACTGCTGAAGCAACACGTATAACAAAACCTCCTGCTCGAGAGAGCCGTCTTGACATATCTTTGTGCTCTAACTAACTAACATTAGATCGTCTGTGGAAGGTTATCAATGATCCCCATGGTAGTGATCACTTACCAATTATTAAAGTGGTCGTCTAAAAACAGATCAGTCAAT